TTGATGAGAAATATGGCCAAGCTCTGAACAGATACAGCTAAACTGATAGATATTCAGATGGATGCAACAAATTGTGCTGCATGTCTCCCTGCCTCTCTGTGATTCGCTCTGCTTAAGAGAGGGGATGCTGTGACTTTGCAGCAAAACTTGCTCATTCAGGTGATGCTTCAGCAGATCACTGCTCTCTCTGCCAGGGCCTTAATTGAGTTCTCTATAGGCTGTCCCACTGTGTACAAACAGCAATGCTGCCGGTGATACAGAGGAGCTACAGAGATGCAATAGTAAAACAACAGGGATTACATGGTGCAAAACTAATATACTGTAGCATGGTGTGTCAGCGTACATCTGCAGGTATAGCTCACTCTGCTAAGTATAGTTTTTTTATTAACCAGCAAGATACTTTTACATGCTGAGCTAGGTACGCCTTTGTGACTTCTAACTTTTATGCTTTCATTCACAGTATATGTTGTCTGAATGGTAACACTTTATTTTTGGGGTCAGGTAATATTGTAATAATATCCAAGTACGTTTCTGTAAAGAACTGAGTAATGTGGTACTAATTATGGTATAGGAAAAACTGAGACAATATTATGAGACACTGTGCATAGTAACTAGTGATGGCAGAATGAAGCCTCATGAAGCATTTTCTTTATTTTCTGAGCCCACTAGATGGCGCTTTTTGTTCAACAAAAGGTTTAAAACACACTGAATTGCTATTCTTTGAGCCTCTCTCTTCAAACCAAGAGTGCCATCTAATTGGCTCAGAAAATAAAGAAAATGCTTCATGAGGCTTCATTTGGCCATCACTAGCTACAGTTCCTCACATTAAGCTGGGTTCTCTGTTCTTGAATTACAAATCCAGTGGAGGAAAAGCCTCTTTCACCAGCTGTGCTTGATGCCAGGATGGTGAAAACATTCCGTGCAATCACTGCCAGGTTTGGAAACATTTAGCATGCTCCTTCCACCGCCATAAAACCTCAAACCTCACCTCCTTGGGTGTCTTGAACTTAATGTAAGCTGCCACCTCATCCTCGGGCTGCAAAGTTTCATTGCTGGAGTCCTCCTTGCGATGACGAATGTGAAGACGGGGTCAAAGGTTTGATTTGTGTTATTGACTTTCAAAATAAAAGGAACTGTAGCTTGATAATCCTGATTTAGATGTCAAAATATTACACAAATACTTTATTCTGAAAAATAAAAACTATATTTATGTTCTCACCCGCTGCATGCAGGTAATTTTTATCCATGCCTGTACCCATGAATTTATATATATTATTTTATTTTATGTTATTTTATTTTGTTCATTCATTCCATTTATTTATTTATTTTTACACAGCTTTTCACAGGTTATCCACAGGTACCTGACCCAGTGCAGGATTCTAAATCACTGACAAACAAGAAACTGGGGAAAGATTAATATTTCAGCAGAAATAATTTCACTTTATTTTGGATTCACACAATTAATTTGTATTGTTTCATACAGTAGTACTGACTTTATTATTGATAGCACTTGAACCATTATTTCATTTATATACTTCACGTGTGCATTTGATTTTCTTTTATATGTCCCTTTAGCCTCAACAGAGAGTAAGTAGAGCTGTGGTGATGTGGCAGACGCAGCTGTGGAGAGTGATGGTGTAAGGTGCTGTGCAAAGTCTTAACTATGATGTCGAGAGAGGATTGGCAGACAGTGCATCCACATATATTCATGTAGACATTGAGTATAAATACTGTCTGTATATTTTGTGTATTAGTAAGACCTGAAGCAACCTATGTTTGCTGTTATTGGAGGGGGTGTTACAGGCGAAAGATGGGTGCGCCCTTTTTCTGTGCTGATTTCCTGTGTTTCTTTTCTGTGTGCCTCTTGAGAGGCAATTTCACACAGAGAGTACAAGCCAAACAGGATGAGAAGTGCTGCCTCATACAGTCATGTATTGATCGGTGATTCATCTTAAACAAACAAGAGCAAGGAATCCTGTGTGGGCCTTTGTTCAACATGTGCCTGTGGCACCGAACAGTACAACTGTGCATGTATGATCTGTATCTGCATCTGTGCTAACAAGTTCCAGTTTGTCTCTCTGCATCCTTTAGGCTGGACAGCTGAGGATCCTATTGGAGACAGCTGATGAGAGAAAGGCCACAGGTTTTGTTTTGACATCAGAGGGACATATATGAAACAGGAGTGTTGGGGTTGATGATTCTCTCTCAGAAAATGTTGAGAGTCAAACTTTTAATTTTCTGCATTCTGGTAATTTTTTATGCACCATTTTGTGCATTTTCTTAATTCATTGTGGAAATGTCTTAAATTTGTCAGAATAAAAGTCCTCTTTCAAAGTTTCATTAACGTGGGGACAAATGCACATGATCTTAATATTTAGGGAGACATGTCCCTATCATCTTTCCTGAAATTTCTGCAAACATGTTGAGAGGACAAAACGGTATGAAAAAGCCATGACGCATGAGAGGAATACAGGTTAAGACTGTCATCTAGTGGTGATGCTGAAAATTACCTCTAGGATAGACGTGACCAAGTGGACACAAAGTGTTGGTTGCACTGCAAGAGTCCTTGAGACAAATCATGTATTTGCATGTAATGATGAATCTCAAGCAGCAAAACATAATTTCTGCATTAAAACACAGAACCTGAAAAGCCAGAACTATGAACAAGCCAGTTAAGAACATACAGCAAATAAATAACACTTAGCGCGAGGCTCATTTTTTCTGTGTTGGTAGAGACAATCAGGCAGGCAATCAGGCAAACCGGTATGGAATAAAGCAGGTCCCAAAGATAAAAGAAAGCTGGTTGTGGAACAGGTACGTAGACAGGAGGAGATATTAAGGGGTGCAAAGGTAGTGGCCCAGGCTAAGCAGGGACAGTGGTTGAATTGGGAAAGTGTAGAGAAGAGGAGGCTTAGTTGGAGGGACCTGTGGAATATGGAGGAGAATCGTATTAGATTAATGGTAAGGGCTACATACGATGTGTTACCAACCCCCCAGAACCTAAAACTGTGGGTAAATGGGGACCCATCATGCCCACTGTGTTCAGGTACCACAACCTTAAAGCATATTTTGTCAGGCTGTAAAGTTAGATTGTCACAAGGCCGGTATACATGGCGACATAACCAGGTGTTCAAAAGTTTAGCTGCAGGCATCGAAGGGAAATAAAGACAGGCAAATTCAGAAGGTTTTAAGAATAGGAGTTTAGCAATTCATTTTGTCCGTGAAGGGAAGAAATATAGAAGTGATAAGTTAGTGAGGAGGCAAGGGTGTGGCCGCCTAGTAGGTGATTGTGTTGCACTCTGGAAAACAGGGATAAATAATCACACAAGTGATGCAGTGTTTCCTCAACCAGAGCTTTAGTGAAGTGAGGCAAATCATATTTTACTACAATACTTTCATTGAAACAGAGTACATCTGCACAAAAATACATCTGCATATACTGTATAAGTATGTTTACAGCTCAAATAATGTGATTAAATGCCACTTTTTTTAAACTGCACATTAATTTAACAATCTAAACCTGCAGTCTTTTAATACACAAATTGCATAATACAACAACTGAATTACAAACAAACTAAATTATTAATAAAATAAAATACAGCATTCCTCAAACGTAGTTTACATTTTCCCTATTAGTTCATTCTCCTCAGTAAATCTGATGAAAAGTAGCTTAGTGAACTCACACCCTTTTCTTATACAAAAGTTGCTAATTAAACAAATAAACTTGAACAAATCAAGTAACTACATAAACAGGATATAAACTGTGCAAAATACATTCACTTTTGTGCATTTACACACGTAAACAATGAAGACACTTTGTGTATTTATACAAGATGGCGGCAGTCTCGCTCGCTCGTACTTACTTTTAAATACCCAGTAAACATAGTTTTAACCTACTCAAGCATCATATAAATGTTCTCCTCACAGTCAAAACGTCTTATAAATTTATCGGAAACAGTTTCACAGTTCACACGATCGACCACATACCTGGAAAACAGGGATAAATAATCACACAAGTGATGCAGTGTTTCCTCAACCAGAGCTTTAGTGAAGCGAGGCAAACATTGCGCGCGATATCCCTTGTATGAGGGCGCAGACAAAAATAATCGATCCCCGATCCTGACAGATCTAGACCTCCTTAGTGGAAGACAGAGATTATTATAGCTTAGTTTTTAACTGTAACAAATAAAACAAACAATGAAATGAATAAGAGATTATGTAATATTTTAACCCCTTCTTAAACATCTTATGAGTTTACAGTTTTTAAACCATTTTTTAACTCTTCACATTTACTGTTTTTTAACTCATATTTATAGTGACTTTATGGTCTTTTTAATCACATCTCAGCCCTTTTTTTAATGAATTGTTTCTTTTACCTATATGAGCTTTTTAACTTCAACAGGATTTTAACTTATTGCAGATTAATATTACCTTTTTTAAACTATTACAATTGTGATTGGGAAATGCAAGTAGATTTGGGGGGAAAGCTTGTTGTTCCCCAGGAAATAGTTTGTACCAATCAGAGGCCTGACATAGTGTTGTGGTCAGTCAGTCAAAGGATAGTTTAATTCACTGAGCGAACAGTTCCTTGGGAAGACTCAGTGGAAGAAGCCTATGAAAGAAAAAAAGCTTTGGTATGCAGACTTATGTTGGGTACACATTACAGGATAATCGGGCCAATTTTTGATCCGATCTCCCCCTTCCGATCAAAGCCAGCAAAAGCTCGACTGTCTGATGTTTCCAAACGACATTGTGTCTGATTTTCCTGTGGTGTGGGGTGTGTTAAGAGTGATTTTGTCCAGTCTGATCCGCTCGGAGGGCCTCGGAAGGAGAGATCGTAAATAATGAACATGTTTAATATTTGCAACCAGAAATCCTGTAGTGAGTGAGGTGTTCCAAGAGGAGCCGAGCACGTACAGTGTGTAATGTCACGTGTATCGGACCAACAGCCAATCAAGACGCGAGCTGAGTCAGCTGACTGACAGAAGAGGAAGTGAAAACAAACATGAGACATGGCACCGATGAAGACCAAAGTCTCTTGGACCTCCGAAATGGAGGACCAACTTGTTGACTTGTGGCAACAGCATGAATGCTTGTATAACGTTTCACCCAAAACTTACCGCAACAGAACAGACAAAGAGAAGAGTCGGACCGAAATTGCTACTGCAATGGATGTACCCGGTAAGTAATCGCTAACAGCTAACTTACCACATTTAGCATCATCATAACATTGGCTTCAGGATAGATTAGATTGTGTATGTGTCTTCACCTATGAATCAAAATCAAATTCTAAATTATTCAACCCCTTCATGGTTGTGAGAAGGGTGAAACGGTTCATTAAAAAATCCGTCCCTAACCCTAATTTTCATTGGGAGTTGAATACTTTTAATTGCAACTGCACATGCCAGCAGTTTGAAAAGATCAAATAGCTCAGCGTTTTAATATCAGTTATTTTGTGTGTGTGTGTGTGTGTGTCTGAATAAAAGAGAAATTTACAATAAGATTACAGTATGTGTGTGTGTTTGTGAATAAAAGAGAAAATTACAATAAGATTACAGTGTGTGTGTGTGTGAGAGAGAGAGAGAGAGAGAATAAAAGACAAAATTGCAATAAGATTACAGTATTTCTTGCTCAGTAATTGCAGTGGAAGAAGTAAAGACGAGAAGCACTACATTGAGAACCCAGTATTCAAAGCTCCTGAAGTCCAAACCCAGTAGGAGTGGGGAAAAACCATTAACAAGCAAGCAAAAATGGTTGCTGAAGGCTTCGATGTTTCTGAAGCAACTTGTCACTCAACAGGCAACTGAGAGCAGCGTAAGTGGTATTACCAAATTTTTTGTTGTTGACTCGAATCATTATTGTTACTATTATTATTATTGTTATTATTATTATACACTGTGTTTTTAGTCATCCCGTTATCTATATGTGGAGGCATCACATTATCCTTTTCTTACAGCTTCACCAATCAGTGAAAGAAGCCCTGGCTGCTGAGGACCCCACCAGTGATCTAGATGATGAGTTGGCGACATCTTCAGACTTCACTGTGGAGGTGTCAGCAAGTGCATCCAGCAGTTTGAGGAAGAGCATCATGCTCGAAATGTCACGCAAAATAAAAAATTGCATACAGGAGCTCTTTTGGTGTGCGGATCGCTTTTTTATTTTTTCACGCTTTTGATACTTTGTGATCCAGCACCCAATCCAGTGGGCTTCAGGGATGTGCGTGTCCTAGTTTTTAATCATAGCAAGTGCATCTCAACCAAATACTCCTCTGAATGATGATGAGAGTCTCACACCTCCCACCCATACCAAGAAGCGAAAGAAAAGCCAATCTGCTGATTTAATTGAATATCAGAAAGTCAAAATGTTGCAGCAGATGTCTACCACTTTTCTGGCAGGTAGTAGCAGGCCTGTGCCAGATAGTGACACTACTGTACCTTTGGAGCACAAGTAACTGAGGAGTTGAGGGCAATTAAGGCTCGTCAGGCTAGCCATAGGGCAATGCTAGATGGTGATGAGGAAATAAGACTGTACGGTTTTGGCTGGGTTTACCAAAGGATATTGTTCCGTTTTAGCCAGTCTGTTCTAAATTTGTTGGTATTTCATGGCTGCATTTGCACCTGTGTGTTCTGTTTTTGTGTATGTAAATAGGTGTGTGCCACAGCCCGGCGGTGATTGGCGGATTGATTAGGTCCTGGTTCCTGATTGGCTGCAGCCAAGATGGCGGTTGCCGGTGAGCTAGCAGGCATACCTCACCTTCCTCCTCTCCCAACCGGCCACACATTATTGTAGTGAACCATCATTTTGTATAGATTGTTGAATCGTAGGGGTGGACTGCCAGTTTTGTTCCTCACACTTTTATCCTGTTTATTTAGTTTGGGAGGTAAGCTTTTTGTCATTTGTTTCTTATTATTTGGTTAGGTTATTTACTTACTCCCTGGACAGGATTGTTTTTGTTTCTTATTTTGGCCTTAGTCCACCCTGATGTTATTATTTCACTAAATTCTGTTATTTAAATATTGTTATACATTTGCATTATTGATTGTTCCACATGTTTGTGTTATTGTGGCTACTTGGGACTTGGGGAAGATGGGCCTTTCATGTTGTGTCTCAGACACCCCTAGACTGGGCATAACAACATGTCAGTTTCAAGACACTAGCACTTTATTTGTGAGTCATTGTTTTTTGTTATACTTGAAAATACTTAGGTTAACATTTTTGAAGAATTGTATGAGCAAAGGGAACTTGATATGTCAGTTCAATGCTAACTGAAGCTCTTCATTTACATTTATTTAAGTTCATTTCAAATTCAGTACCTGTTTTGCAGCTTTGAGATTTTCAGGAGACGCTGAATGTTATCTTCAAATGTTACATTTTATAAATGAACAAGAAAAAAATAGCTGGAAATATTTTTTATTCAGTATTTTTATTTACAAAAAGTATTTACAAAAAATAAACAAGCTCAGGTGAGTTGAAGTGTCACTGTCTTTTTTTCTTTAAATGTTTACATTCTCTGAATGAACAAGGGAAAAATGCTGGAAATATTTTTTTCTTCAGTATTTACAAAAATATAACAAGCTCAGCTGAGTTCGAGTCAATTTCTTTTATCTTCAAAAATTTTTTTATATTTTCTGAATGAACAAGGGAAAATGCTGTTGATATTTCTTCAGTGTTTACAAACTAAAACAAGTTCAGTTGAGTTAAAGTGTCGATTTCTTTTTTTAAAATTAACACTAAAAGTAACAACACAATTGTGTCAGTGCTTTAGAGTATGTCAAAACCTCAACTAAGGAAAAAAAAGAACAAAATATTTTAGCTCTTCAAACTGAAGAGCTAACAGGCTAAATGAAGTTATCCTGCCAGGGAACCTGGCCTGCAGGTGTAACAAAATATCTCTTCAGTTTGTCTCTGACTGCTTTGGCAGCCATGGAGTTGTTGCCACTTCTCCCAGGTTGAAGAGGGAGCATAGCTCCCAGGCCATCATTCATCCAGGAACCCTCCATGAGCCTGTGGTCTGCGCCTTCTGTGTCGGCCAAGCCTGGAGTTGTGTATGTCTCGGACCGAACCTCGCACAAGTAGTTGTGGAGACATACGCATGCCAGAACCATCTTTTGCACCTTATCAGGGTTGAGCATAATTGTGGAGAGGAATACTCTCCACCTGTTAGCAAGTATACCAAACCCATTCTCCACCATTCTGCGTCCGCAAGAGAGTCGGTAATTGAAAACTCTCTGCTCATGGTCCATCTGGCGAAAAGAGTATGGCTTCATGAGGTCGATGCGCAAAGGATATGCATCATCCCCTATAAACATAAAAGGGACTTCCATGTCAGAGCCTGGGAGCAATTTTGCTGCAGGAATACTGAGGAGATTCTTGTCAAGCGCTTACTCCTGCATCAGATGCTCTGCCCTGTGCTCCCACGCTGACGTACTTGAATTGGTACTTGGCATCAACTACAGCCATCAGCAACACAGAGAAATGTCCTTTGCAGTTCCGAAAGGTGCTTCCACTATGTGCTGGTGGCTGTATACTGATGTGCTTTCCATCAATAGCACCTGGGGAAACTGCCATCTCTGAAGAAACTCTTCTGCAATATCCAGCCATTCCTTTTCATTTTCACCCAATTATTAAAAACACTGAATAACATTTAATAACTTTCTCAAAGGCTAATATGAAAAGAAAGTGATGTTACATTTAATATGAGTTACGCATTAACTCTGTCAGTGATTCTTTTTATGACTGTAGCTGTGTATTTTTTCCCGGAAGTTTTCTCCCCTGTTGTCGTGGTGAATCATAGTATCGGAGCTCCATTGATGATGGCTTTATCACTAAGATGCTCAAGTCAAAAATGTCTTATCTTTTGACTGCTTGTCTCTGATATCTCCTAACAGTTTTCCAAGAGATTTCTGATATTTACTTTGAAACCGATGCTATATTGCTGCATACTCTGTAGTTCTTATGCACAGAGCGTGGCTGGCAGTGAATGCTTGAAAGACATAGCAACAGTAACCAAGGCAGCGGGGCTTAGCTCATGTTATCCAATGACATTCCGTTTGGAGCTTCCACCTTGTTCCCCGGCGCTGCGTTGTGGTTGTTTGTCCCTCTTCACCGAAGGACACGGCAGTCATTACGGTAAGTGGTAGGAGCTTGCTTGTAGCGTAGTCATTTTGTGAATGTTGCTCGTGCTTCTGACATTATATGTGGGTTTGTATGCTATGTAAACTATATGTGTACCTACATTATATCAATTGGAATATATCGTCACTAGCTCAGCTCAGTAAGATATCGTAGCAGTTCGTTAGCGTAGCCGTTCGTTAGCAAAGCGGCTAGTTAGCGTAGCGGCTAGGTAGCGTAGGACTTACTTAGCCCCCAGCATCCTTCGACTCAGCAGGAGAGTGCGGTATTTTAGGTGTTGCGTCAGCTCACACTGGTTGTTTTTAAACTGTGGAATATTCAGTGATTAAATTGCAATGCTTTGCCATTAGCTTAGTTTAGTAAGCTAGCGTAACTTAGCGGGTAGTTAGCGTAACGGCTATTTAGCCGCCATTGTTCTCTGACTCGGCCAGAGAGTGATGTGTTGTAACTTAGGGGAGAGGGGTGTCAAACGGAACATTTTTTCATATTTCCCTCTCTGCACAGAGATGCATTTATATATAGTAACCACATTTTCATAGTGAACCCAACCATGTTTGCAAAGTTTGGATGAATGAGTCGCACTCAATCTAGCAGGAAACGAAGCTCATCTGCCTGTTTGCCTCCGCATGCAGGGATGAACAGATCCACTTTATAATTAACCGCAAAACACGTAAATAACTTCATATTACTGGCGTGTAACACTCATTAATGCTTAATCTTAGTCCTCTGTGAAATGAGAATGTCCAATTGAAATAATCTTCTCATGTTTAATGTCTGAAAATGAATTACATTTGTCCAGTACTCTGTGATATAGCCTACTGTGTTTAACAAAGCATGTTCCAATGTAATTAAAGCTTTATGTGTTTGTGGACATAATTGATTTAATAATACAAGTAGACAGTATTTGAAGAAGAAGTTAGAATGCAGTGTGGTCATGAAACTGTTTGGCCTTGTCAGTCAAAAAAGTGTATCAGTTGTGTGTTTGTGTGTTTGTGTCAGCTACTGTCAATGTCAAATCATTAGTAAATTATCAGTTTGATTTTAATATGCTTAATAACTGGGTCTTTATACTTTTAGATGCCCCGTGGCAAGTCCTACCGTCGCTCTGAGGTGGCTAAGTGGAGGATGTCGGAGCGACAGTTGGCCTCCAGTGACGCTGGTGCATGTATGTGGCGTGCCTTCTTGAAATCAACTTTTCATGTATATCCTTGCTGTATGACTGAGTTGAACTCCTAACTTTGTGTATTTTTATAGTCCTGAAAAGCTCACATATTGATGTGATTGATGATTAGAAGTTTTAGTTGTGTGTTTTCAGCCTAAAAGAAATCCTGTCTTTTGTTCCAGCTTGTTCTTCTTGTAGGGGCGTCCCATCTGCACTCCCTTGCAGATGGGATTGTGCTGATGCCAGAGGATTGCTACACCTTTGGCGTCATGTCCACTCCAGGGGTGTGCGCTGACTAGCTCAGGACTGAGAATGAAAATGCTGTTCTTCCTCGGATCTCTGATGCTGTCTGTGTCATGGCCCCTGGGAACAACCTGACGGCCAGCAAGACGCCTAAGCAAGGAGGCATAGCTTTTGGCCAATACCCAGCCACTGTCTGCAGCGTTAGGCCGACTGCACAGGTAGGTTATTCATGTATTCTTTTTAATGAGGCAGATGTGTACAGGTCAATATGATTTTGTCATTAACCATTATTATTTTGTTTAGGTCTTCGCTGGGACCTTGTCCCACACTTGACAGTCCCGGGGGATATCCAAGAGTTTTTCCGGCAGGAATTTCACCACGTGTCAGCACGTCTCGGTATGTTTGAAAATAATGATACATGGTTCTAAACAGTTTTATGAAGGCTTATGAGAATTATATATTTTACATATAATTTCTAATATTATACCTATTATGGTTTTCTAATAAGAAAGTTGACATTGCCTTTTTAAAATGTGTTTTTCAAAAACTGTTTCTTTTCTTGTTCCTTTTTTTTTAAGGTGTGAAATATTTTCACCACGCTGACCGCTTCCCCCTGAACAACCGCAAGCTGTGGGGCTGTGATGGTGTAAGTAGAATATATTATTTTCATATCATAAATAGAAAATTATTCAACACAGTATGTTTGACAATAAAGGTCACATTTTTCAAAATAATATTTAATTTTTTTTTGTCATTGTTTTGTGTTTGTAGGTGCACCCCAGTGACGACATGGGGATGCCTATCCTCGTGGAGTTGCTGTTGGCTGCCACCAAACAGCACCTGGAGATACCAGCACCTAAGCCACAGGTATCATGCCCGGTGTCTCCCAAGCCTCTGCCAAAGGTGGTTCCACGTGTGATTATGGTGGGGGAGGTTATAGTTCCACGGGCCCCCCCTCCTGAGTGGACGTCTGTACAGTTGGGCAGGAAGGTAAGAGACTGAACTTTGTAAATATGTTTCATGAAATAAAAATAAGGTTGTGAATTGATCCACTTTTTTTTTTTTGCTTTTTGTCATTACAGAGGAACCACTCTGAACATGGGCATGGGTCTGGTTCATCACAGAGACGAGTGGTTCATCATGTGGTATGCGATCTTTCATTTAACCATGATATTTACATAACAGTGATAGTTTGTGTGCTTTATCTAAGAAAATGACAAGTGTTAGAAATAATCTACATGTCTGTCAACACTCTGCCTTGCGAGAGTGTTTCATTCATATTGTATATGGATTACGCTCGCGTAATATCACATAGGATTACGCTTGCGCGGGTCCTAGTCCTTTTTTTTTTGTTAACCAACTGGTCTTTTTCTGTGGGTTTGGGTAGTTCCTAGGGGGTAGTCTAGCTGTTCTTAAGTGCATTCACAAGACACCCAAAGAAGCCCATAGAGATACTATTTGCGTGTCACAGAGGATAGTCAGGTGTGAGGTTATGACAAGTTCAAAGAGACAACTCCGTAGTTCTGGTTGGAGGAGGGTTCCTTGGGGGTAGTCTAGCTGTTATTTTAAGTGCATTCAATGGCACAAGACATGTTCCTGATCAAATATGTAATGTAATTAATGTATGTAATAATTTGCAATAAAATTGTATGATATTTTACACCCTGGTTTCACGTCTCACCTGAATACTGAACCATGATACTGAACTGGTAAATGGTAATGAATGGGACAGTTTCATCATCAGAAATTGTAAGAATGTTGTAATTTAAGAGTAAAAGTCAAGGAATGAGTTGTTTATATGTAGTCATTGCTTAATAGTAAGACAAAAGTAATTAAGTGGTAATCATGTAGAGTTTCAGTAGTAATTCAAAAGGGTTTGTGTAGAAATAAAAAGTAATTCAATAGTGATGAGTAGTGATAAAACACTACATACGCAGAAGGATGTAGTAATTCCATAGGGATTGTGAAGGCATACAGCAGTAAATGTGTAAGCATTGTGTAGTTATTCAATGATAAATGTGAAGGAATGAGTAGTGATTATATAGTAATTTCCCAAAATCCAATAGTGAGACAGAAGTGATTAAGTGATAATCATGTACAGTTTCAATAGTAATTCAAAAGGTTTGTGTAGAAATGAAAAGTAATTCAGTAGTGATAAAACACTACATACACAGAAAGATGTAGTAATTCCAAAGGGATTGTGAAAACATACAGCAGTAAATGTGTAAGCATTGTGTAGTTATTCAATAATAAATGTGAAGGAATGAGTAGTGATTATATAGTAATTTCCCAAAATCCAATAGTGAGACAGAAGTGATTAAGTAGGGATGTGCAGGGATTTGAATAGGCATCATGTAGTAATTGTCAGTAGTGATCAGTAGTGAAATCACCCAATACATTACTCATTACTATTCAAATCACTACACAAATCACCACACAGCTCAATAGCAATCAAGTAGTGAAACAGTAGTTTATGTGTAAGTATTTAGTAGTAGTGATGAGTAGTGATTCAGTAGTGTTTTTTCATGAGAGCTCTCTGGAATCTGGCAATATAAGAACCATGATGCTGGGACATTGTGTCACTTCACAGCTGTCCAAAACATGTGGTTTGTGCCAGGCTGACATGATTGGCAGTATTTTTTCATTATTGCAAGAAATTCCATTGACTCATTCACAAGTCAAAAATGTGTTTTATCTGAAAGAAACATGCAATATTTACATCTAAGATAATAGAAAAATAGTCAACCAAGTGCAATGATGTCTTCCAAGATAATATTTGTTTTTCAGTTTCAGTTATATATTGGGGGGACATTTTGGGCATTGGTTGGGGGGCACGTGTCCCCCTCAATGTATATGGTGACTACTGCCCTGTCAGCATTTATAATTAGGCTACAGTTGTCTGGGTGCACTAAGGTGAAGTGGCTGGTCTTGTCATACAAAGTTTGATGGAGTGTCAACTGGACAGTATGGAGGTATTTGCATCTTGAAAGCTGAACTACAAATGTGGATAGACAGGGAGAAACACACGCAAGCCTAAGACGTGGTAAGATACCATATTATTCACTATATGAAGTGACTGATAACAAGATCTGTATAATGGATTGTAAAGAAATTCGTCAGGTTTTTATTTTGTAGACAATCTGGATTTATAGCATAATGGGATGACAGCACAATGATGTGTGTGGTATCACTGGAAAGCTCTGCTCCTGCGCTTTCATGTGATATGTGTGGCATTTCTGTGCGAGCCTGCATTCGCCAGTAATCCATCCAAGAGTAATATGTGTGCAAAGCTGTATTTATCATTTTTTTTCGCTGTGAAAACACTGGACTACTGACAAGTGCTTGGCTACAATTCCGCTGTTTCACGTGATATGCGTGGCTTCTCGCTATGACGAACAGTTGCGGAGAAAATCCACAGAGAAGAACAGATGTGAATTTGGACGCACTATGTATCGTTCAGGCCCATAGGGTTAATTACAGGTTATATCATCAGAACCATGAATAAAGTAGGCTACTTCATATCATATGAGAGACGGTACTGAAAATATCTTGGACTGTTTTTACTTACTTAATTACTCCTCTTCATCCCTTATGGGACATAAGGCTTCAATGAGCTCTCTCCATTGTATTCGGTTCTTGGCAGCATGTTGCGCCTCTCCCCATGAGAGGTTCATCTGTTCCAGCTCCTGTGTCACAGTTCTGCGCCAGGTGATTTTGGGCCTCCCAGGTTTTCTTTGCCTGGTGGTGTCCATCTTATGGCAGATTTTGTGATCCGATCCTGCTCCATTCTCAACACGTCCTAGCCATCTCAGGCGTCTGTGTGTAATTTCCTTGGTGATGCTCCGGCTACCTGTTTTCTTGTACAGTTCATGGTTGTAGATTTTATTAGGCCAAAAGATCTGGCATATCTGTCTGAGGCATCCATTGTGAAAAACTTCCAGTCTCCTCATGTCTGTTTTGACCTCTCGCCAGCTCTCTGCACCATACAGCAGAACAGACTTGACATTGCTGTTATACACTAGCATCTTTGTTTTAAGGCTGTATTGCTTGGACCTCCAGATGGAACAGAGTATGGAAAAGGCAAACCGGGCCTTTCCCAGCCTTGCGTTGATGTCTTTTTGTGCCCCGCTGTCCTTACTGACGAGGCTCCCAAGGTACGTGAAATCTTCCACAAACTCAAGCGGTTCCCCGTTCACAAGGATGGGTGCTGTGGGGGTGGAGTTCACATACATCACTTGGGTTTTGGAGGTGTTGATGTTGAGTCCAACCTGTCTGACAAAGTTCTTAAGTCTGTCTGTTTTAACCTGCATGTTGGGGTAGTTGGTTCAAAGGAGAGTAAGGTCGTCAGCAAAGTCAAGAGCTTCCAGCTGGGAGAACAGGGTCCACTGGATGCCTCTAGGTCTATCTGCTGTGGTGTTTTTTGTGATCCAGTCAGTGGTGACAAGGAAGAGTGAAGAACAATAAGACCATTGGACCAGTCTTCAGGGATGGTGTCGCTCTTTCAGATGTTTTGAAAGAGGTCTGTCAGAACTCGTGTTGATGTGGGAATATCAGCCTTCAGCATCTCAGCATGAATAGCATCTATGCCACATGCCTTACCACCCTTAAGGGCCTAGATGGAGGTTCTGACCTCAGCAGAGTCAGGGGGGCTGGTGTTGATATCCAGGATATTGTCTGTTGTTGTGATGTTGGTTGTTCTGGCTCAGGGAGGTTGAGCACTGAAGTGTTGAACCCATCTGGCTGCTTGCTCACGCTCTGATGTACAGATGTTGCCATTCTTTTCCCTAACATGGGTAGTTTGGCTTGTACATTTGTCGCAGAGTCGCTTGGTTATCTTGTAGACTGTGCCCAGGTTACCATATGCTGCAGTCTTCTCAGATTCGCTTGCCAGGTTTTCAACATAGCCCCTCTTGTCTCTCCTGGCGCTCCTCTTCACCTCTCTGTCCTTGTTTTTATAGGCCATCTTGGCTTTCTCAAGGAGTCGTTGGGACTTGTTGTTCAGTGTCTTTGCCTTCAGCTGTTTCTTCTCTTCAATTTTCTGCCAAGTGTTTGCTGAGATCCATTCTTTGGCCCCTTTCTGTTTGAAGCCCAGGACTTTTTGTGCTGTTTGTGAGTAGATGGTCTTGATAGCATCCCATTTGTTGTTTATGGAGGGTTCCTCTTCCACTGCAGTGGCAGCAGAATCTAGTAGGTTAAAGCAATTTCTAAGTTTCAACACAAACTCTTTGTTATTTCTTGGGTACTGGAGTTTGCCAATATCCAATTTCTTCTGTTGCTGGCCTTGTGGGACTGACTTCATCAACTTGCGCGTGATGGTGGCAGCGATTAGATAGTGTTCGCTGTAGGCATCTGAACCCTGGTATGCTCTAACATGATGAAGTGACCTGCGCCATTTACCGTTGATGATAAAGTGGTCTATTTGGTTGATAGTCCTAACATCAGGTGACTTCCATGTGAGCTTGTGGATGTTCTTGTGTGGGAAGAAGGTACTGCTGATGACCAAGTTGTTATTTGTGCAGAAGTCAACAAGGCGTTCTGCATTGTTGTTTCTTTCACCACATCCATGGGTGCCCATTGTCATCTTGTAGTTGGAATTGTTAGTTCCCACTTTGGCATTCATGTCGTCACTTATAAGAAGCATGTCATGCTAGGGTACCTCAGAAACTGCCATTTGTAGTTGGACTGTGAGGCAGTAAAATGTCAGTTGTGTGGGATGAAAACTGATTGATTGATTGATTGATTGACTTCTTTATTGATAATGAACACGTATCAGTACATACACAGGAACACCATTATCAAAAGGATAAAAAACACAATAAAGCTGGAAGCTTATTTCCATTGTGGTCCTTAGGGTGATTGAGTGTTGAGTGTACTGATGGGTGAAATGTTTGGATGCGTGTGAGTGAGTAAAGGTAAGGGTGCATTTCAACGCTGCATCTGTCGACACTGTGGAATAAGCGTGGGTGTGCCTTCCACGCAGGGGCAGGAGAACACAAGGACATACATCCAATACAATACAATACAATACAAGATCGGCAGTTCAGGAGGCAGAGGCAGCTCTTAAGCATGCAGAGATTGTAGGTAATATTCAGTTTGGCCGGGGAGGCCTGGGGCTTGGCTCAGGCAAACCGGTATGGAATAAAGCAGGTCTCAAAGATAAAAGAAAGCTGGTTGTAGAACAGATACGTAGACAGGAAGAGATGTTAAGGGGTGTAAAGGTAGTGGCTCAGGCTAAACAGGGACAGTGGTTGAATTGGGAAAGTGTAGAGAAGAGGAAGCTTAGTTGGAGGGACCTGTGGAGTATGGAGGAGAATCGTATTAGATTCCTGGTAGGGGCTACATACGATGTGTTACCAACCCCCCAGAACCTAAAACTGTGGGTAAATGAGGATCCATCATGCCCATTGTGTTCAGGTACCGCAACCTTAAAGCATATTTTGTCAGGCTGTAAAGTTAGCTTGTCACAAAGCCGATATACATGGCGACATAACCAGGTGTTGAAATGTTTAGCTGCAGACATCGAAGGGAAATGAAGACAGGTGAATTCAGAAGGTGTTAAGCATAGGAGTTTAGTAATTCAGTTTGTCCATGAGGGAGAGAAATTCAGAAGGAATAAGTTAGTAAGGAGGCAAGGGTGTGACCGCCTAGAAGGTGCTTGTGAT